GCTGGAGGATAGCCTCCAGGAGCACTGGATGCCTACCATAAAAGAATGCACTTTCATAGGTAGGTCTGTGAAGAAGTGATAAGAAGTAAACAGGAGCTGTATGCAAAAGCATTAGGTATTCAACCCAAGGAAGCAGTCTGTGACAAGGACAGCTTCTCCATCTGTCTTCCTTTAATTGATACTATCACACTAAATGTTTTCTTGTCACTTTAAATCAATGGAAAAAAACCCAGATAATTTCCCTCCCTCTCTGTATTTATGTCTAGCATTTTTCTGGGCAAGAACTTCAGTTCCTGTGGTTATATTCTTCTTAATGACTCAACTGGATGAAGTGGTTTGCTCAGAAAGAAATATATGTGTGTCCAGCCATGCAACATTTCATAGTAGATTGAAGTGGGGAAGGAAGGCCATTGCTAAGTTGAGCACTGACCTTTGCTTCCTAAGGCTAGGTGAGGTAGCGGGTTAGTCTTATTCCAACTGAAAAATTAACAGCTCCTGGTATTTTTAGTATTCCAATTTGAAGAACTTGATTTACCACGACTGGGCTCGAAAAAAGCCCAATGAATATTGGAAGGGAGCCCTTCTTATTCCTGTCCCTTGCAGTGGTCCCCATGCAGCTGCAGAGGCAGCGACCCTGGCTGTCGGACCCTGGCAGGGAGAAGGTGCCAGTTCCCATGGAGACTGCCTGCATCTCAGCACAGGAGGCAGGGAAGCCGGGAGGGATGGAGCCAGAGGCACTGTGGAGAGCCAGAGCAGCCTGTGTGCCTTGTCACCCGTGGTCACATCCTCTTTGTGGGCCATCCTGTGGGCAAAGCTAAGCAGGGTGTTGGTCTCCTGCTGCCCACAGCTGTGCTGGGCTTACCTGAGTGCAAGTTCTCTGCAGCTGTGGGTTATGCTCAGTCTTGCTTTTCCTAATTAATATGAACCTCACCAAAAAATACTCAATTTACGGCTAAATCTGGGAAATTTCATACCACTTTCTGTTATTTCCAGATGTCATCACAAAACTTCAGTGAGGGTATCACTTGAGCACAAATAAAGAACAGTTTTAATTTCCCTATTTTCTTTGTGTTAATGATCCATCTTTAATTAATGAACTTCTTCTATTAAAATGAAAGGATTTCATGAATTAATGTTTTAAGTTCAGTAGTATATGTGTGACTTACATTTCCTCTCATCATTTTAATTAATATTCAACAAATTGTGGGATATAAAATTGTAAGTTTTGAAAAACTATTTACACTAAGTATTTTGAAATTACCTTTGCCATATCTGAAATGTTATAGTTGAAAATTCTGCTACAAAGAGTGCTTATTTTAAATGTTTTTATTTTTAATGGTTAGTCACTGTGGCCTGAAGACTTAATTTTAAAACAAAGCGTCATCAAGGTTAGACTGTATTTGTGGGACACGCAAAAGTTACCCGGACTGTGTAAGTTTGAAACCTAGTTAGGAAGCTTAACTAAATCATATTAGTTAGGAAGGTAAAGCTGGAAGTGATGATGTGGTTTAGCATAGTAGTCTGACGTAGAACCAGATCCTTTGTGCATTATATTATCTGTATATAATATCCTCAGTGGAGGAGACTCTGCACCCTCAGTAGTTACTGTCTGCCTGAATTTCAGTGCACTTATAGACTCATAAAATCATAAAACAGCTGCAGTTGGAAGGCAGACCATCTCATTCCAACCCCTTTCCATGGGCAGGGAACCTTCCATTAGACCAGTTTGCTCAGCCTGTTCTTGCCCACCTCTAGGGATGGGGACTCTACAGCCTCTCTGGATAACCTGTTGCAGTGTCTCACCATCCTAAAAGTAAAGAAATTCTAGTCTAACCCTGCCCTCGTTCTGCTTAAGGCCATTCCCCCTTGTCCTGTCACCACATGTTCTTGTGAAAAGTCCCTCTCCAGACTCCTTGTAAGCCCCTGGTATTAGGAATTTTCTATATGCTGTCTAGCTTTCCAGGCAGCAAAACTGCTTATAATTATACTCTATTTTAATAGCACCAACAGAATTTTTACTGGTCATGGAAGAGGGCTTATGAGAAGAAATCTGATGCAAATCTTTTTCATTTCCATTGTTTTTCACAGTGTGTGCTGTTTTGGTCTTTGCTCTTAAGAAACTTCACTAACATTGTATTTCACTGCAACTCCATCCAAAAGATGAAGTTGCAGTGAAATATTTGTCTTTAAACAATAGTATTCCTAGAACAGGTACCTCAAAATCTTGTTGGAGGGGAGATAACGAAGGGAATACCTAACAGTATCATTCTGTCTAACTCTACCAGGTTGCTAGAGCAGGTTATACTAATGAAGGAAGATGGTATTGAAGAAAAATTCAAGTGAAGCAAGGCAAATTCTGTAGAAATATTAATCTTTACTCTAAAGTATTTTCTCTGAGTAAGAACAGTTTCTACAGTACTGATCACAAATCAGTATGGTGGCAAGTGTGCTACAGAATGGTAAGAGAAATAAGAGAGATTCTGAGAGCAGAAGAAAAGTATTAAGAGAAGCCAGAAAAAAACCCAGCCCAAACCAAAACAATAAACAACCCACATGTTTTGTGGTATTTTTTTTTTAGGTATCATCAGTGATGCCTGAGGATCAGAAAGTTTATCAGAGGAGATGTACATTTTTGGTATACTTTTAAGCATTGCACAAGATCTGGTTCAAGACGTAGCAACAGAAGACAGGACCCATTTTTTAATAGTGACCATCTATGTAGGAAAGACAGAAACCAAAGTAGTCAGACATGGACATCTTTTAAAAACCAGGATTTAAACAAAGACAAGAGCACATCTTAAAACATTACCAACAATAGTTAAGAGAAGAAAAACCATTGAAAGAACCATGAAGAATGTTTAATGAGACCCAGATGGTGATTCAGAACCTATATACACTCTTAAAATTAGGATTTCATAAAGACCAAACTAATGCAGAAAACCAACTCGAATGCTAAAAAAGATACTGCCTTCAAAAAATCACCTCCAAAAAAGCACAAAAAATTATGAAAGATAATTAATTCTGCATACAATTGTATACAATCGGTTTCATGCCAGAAAATATTTCCAGAAACAATTTTCTAAATGGCTATAAAAAGTAAAACACTTAAAAAATATCTAAATAAGAAAGAGCCCCAGAGTCAGTGAGGTCAGTAGAAGATGGAAGTGTAAAGTGGAGCTGTAAAAAATATCATCATTGTGCTTTTGGTGCTTTTCTAACTAAACTACTGGAAGCGTGACTTGTAATTTTGCAGGAGTTCAGTCTCCTAAACTAACAATCACTACTTTGTAAATTCAGAATCTCTACCCTTACAGGTAATTATTATCTAATGTTTTTACAAATGGCCATTACCTTTCAAGGTTATTATTTCAAAATGCAACATCACAAGAAGATATGAGTGTGTAGGAGATTATAGAGGTCTATATTTTCCAGTGGGAATGATAGGACTGAATTTAAGTTAGTTTTCGCAGTTTTCAGCCACCTAGGTGTAAATAAGAAGGTTCATGTGTGCACATAGGTATACACATTTCACATTGTAGTTCCTTCTATTTCATTCCCAAGAAGACTTAATAGAAACTGCAGTTTGGATAAAGCCAGTCAAAATCTTGACATTTTATACGCACATGCTACATAATTTATTCAGTTAGTTATAGAACATTATATCTACTTTTAATTCATATTTTTCTAATCATTTAGTAAGTGATACTAGTAGCACAAAAATGCATTACTTCTGTTTGAATAGGATTCAAGGGTCAGTAAAAATAAAAATAGTGATAGTACTCCTTGCAAAAGACAGTTAATTACAGTTCTATGAAGAAGAACAAGGCTGCAGAATAAGTACATGCTCCATTAGCACTCTCATTTCACATGTATCATGCAGAGTCCTTAGGCAGCTGAGCAAGAGTACTTCAGACTAAATTGTCTGGCATTTGTTGGCAAGGACCCTGCTTTAGTACCAGCTCCCTCCCTAGAGTTATTTCTAACCCTTTCTTATCTGTTTTCCCTACCTTCGTTTTATTTCCTTCTACTGCTCTACAATATGTGATAAAAGGACTTTCATCTGGTATTGCTTAGCATTGTTATGTGACCTTAACTTTGATGAATTAGAACAAACAGACATGATCCTTGGAATACAGGCAGGAGAGAGAAATTTATTTTAAAAATCAGCAGGACTAGGTTTTTTGCTCACAGAAAGGACTCAGGCTGTTCACATGCCACTGTCAGAAGTAAAATGGGGAGATTATTGTCCCTTCTCTTTTTTCCAAATACTGCTGTGACACCAAGACCTAAAGACTGCAGGCCCTAGAACCTTCCTGAGCAATCCCAGGACAACCATTGCTCTCCCAAACTGTTTCTGGGCAGATGTGGGAGATCACAAGTGTGAGAACATCTCTCAGTAACAGTCTGGTTGCAAATGGATTGTGTGGAGAATGTGGAGGCCATGACAGGTATGGAGCTGAGGTGAGGAGATGAATAAGCTCATCAAGTGCCAAGTGGCACAAGATGTTTCAATATTCATAAAGTGCATGCAAATATTAAATATATCTTCAAATTATGAAATCAGATTTAAAGATAATCCCCCTCCCTAAATAAAGCACATTTATTTTCTCTTAGCTCCCGATCTCAAAGTTATAGGTTTGACTTCCTGCAGAATTTTCTCTAGTCACAGAAGACAGAAACTTGTTTATGCAACTCATAAATGCAAGCTGAGACTCTTACATAATTACAGGTCTCCAAACAATATGTGTACAGGAGTTGGCAAGGCTACACTGGATATACAGTTTTAAGACAGAGCAGCTTTTGAAACAAGCAGAGAATCTCATTACCCAGCTGCATAAATCCATGGTTCAGTCACATCTTGAACTGTTGTGGGCAGTTCTCCTCCCCCAATCTCAGAAAATGCAGAATATAACTGGGAAAGATCACGAGCAGTGTGACAAGCATATTCAAAACTATACTGCTGAAAATAGTATATTAAAAATATTCAAAAGCTGGAACTATTTTTTTTTTTGTAATATGGGACCTTTAATAAGTAAACATTAACTGGGAGTGAGGAATAGGGAAAAGTGCCATATTAAAAAAATGCACAGAGAGGTACATGGGGAATGGCTGCTCACAGTCTCTGACAAAGCAAGAACTACAGGCTAACAGAAGTAAGCAGATGGCAGACTCAGAGAAAATGAAAGAATTTTATTTTTCACATTATGCAGGTAAATACAGGTATTTTTCAAATGCAAAACATCTACATGAATTCAAAAGAAGAAAAAAAAAAACATCAAAAGCAATTAGGGCTGTTAATTAAAAAAACAACATTTCGGACTCAAGGAATATCCAGAACCAGAAAAATAGTCTAAGGAAACATCATTATATTTTTGACCTTTTCTTTTTCTCATCTTCTAAGTATCTGCTTTTGCCTGCTTTGTGACAGGATATTATGGAAAATGGATACATTCATCCCATGCTGTGAATACAAAATCTTTAGTTTGCTTTAGAGCTGCTAAATTAGAAATAATCAAAATGCTCCTCAAGATTTTTTCCTCAGCATAACAACTCCAGAAGGTATGACGTAGATTCTGTTTTCGTTTCCTCCCATTATTTCTATGAAAATGACAAAGTTGCCTCCTGGGCCCTGAGCCTTTTTCTCACCAGAAAGCTCTGAATGTTGCCAGGGGACCCTTAAAAGACAAGGCAAGCTCAAGTGTAAAGGACATGCAAGATGTAAAGCTGCTTTACAGTATTTCATCACCAAGACTTTGCATTTATGCTGGTGCATTTGTTCAGAGAGCATTCTGTGCTGTTCCTCCTTTACAAGGGCACTGCTAGTTCCAATACAAAGCTTACCAGAGCTCACTTTTAGCCATGCTATGGGTCCCAAACTAATTCATACAGCATGAGCATCTTTTTTCTCCTCCTGCCTTGGGCTGGGAACCCAGCCTCTGCCTTGGACCTAACAATTTTGTGAACTGAACAGCTCCTTCCATGATGCTAGGTGGCAAAATACCCTTTTACAGTCTGGTCCAGGCACACAGATTTTGCTTTTGTTTTCGTAAAGCAAATGGGACCAGAGCATTTGTATGAGGAAGAAAGAAGCAGTGAAGGATGGACTTGGTATTATGCAGCCTAGCATGGATAAAGGAAAGAACAAGGTTTGCCTCTGGACAAGTGAGCTGGGGGATCAGCCTCAGAGGTGAAGATTATGTTTGGGGAGATTAGCAGTTGTTCTGAATGAAGAATAATGCTAAGACACACTTTTACACTGAGAAGTTTAAAATTAGGAAGTAGCATAAAATTTCTCATTTCTCTCTTTAATCAAAAGACTGCTTCATGACGTTAAGGAGGCAATCAACCTACAAATGATGTCTCTGAAGGAATAACTGCATGTTGTTCACAATAACAAGTGCATCTTCTGTGAAAGATTGAAACAGTAATCACTGTTTCACAATATCACTGGCACACAAATATCTCCGCTGTTATTTGTAAAGGAGAGTTACAGAATTAAGGAACTGTATAGTATATCTGACATAAAAATTGTCAGTTATCTAAAAATATGTAACCTCTGGCTGGTAAGTAGGTAAATAACAGAGTGCTTAGCAGGGATCTTTATTCCAATACTTCCTCCATCATTTTGCAGTGCACAGTTTTGCTTTCAGTGTTGAGATACATTTTGCTTCATTTAAAATTAAGTCCTGTGATTGTCTCAGTGGGTATCTCAGGCAATATTTGAAGTAATTATGTCACTTCAAAAGCAGCACAGGAAAACAATATTGTGCCATTTTATTTCTCTTCACAGCTGTCCAAACAATGTTAAATGAATCAGAAGTGCTTTGCATTTAGAGAAACAATATAAATTCAAAATCTCTCCAGCACAGCAAGAGCCATTGAACAATTAGCAGGAGTCCTTCTGACTAAATAAATATATTTTGCGCCTCTGAAGCAATCCAACAGAAATACACACCACCAGGAAATAAAAAACCCTCAACCTTTAACAGTATTAACATGTCACACAATACATATTATTCTATAAGTACTTCAATTTTATTTTTTTACATTAGAGATGTGTCTATAAAATTTAGTACACTAAATGCCATCCTACTTGGTCTGCATGGAAAAGAATTCACATCTACTTTAGGTTTTTTACTTGACATTTATCATCTTTGTTGCTTCGGTGTCCTCTGTCATGCTCCAGGTATCTACTTGCTTAAAGTAGGGTCTGGAAATCATACCCAGGTCACACATAATACCTAAACAAAAAGATAAGGAGATCTTAAAACCTGACCTGGCTCCACACAAATTTAAGTGCAATATAAGTAAGTATGTAAGTATTTAGGATATGAATACTTGTAATAATTATTTCTAGTGACACAAATTGAGCTGTGGAACAACTTTCTTGGGGAAATGGTGTTTCAGAGATTGGAGGAATCACAATCAGCACAGTCTGAAAAAGCAAGGTATATGAAAATAGAGAAACATCTAAAATGAAAATAGTGATATGAATAATCATTGATGCCACAGTGGACTCACACCAAATATGAGAGGTGCCACCATCAAAGGTATGACTGGAGCCTCAGCCCAGCATACTGCTAAAGCTAAATTTAACAAAATGAGTGGTTTTCAGAATGAAGCATCAGTGGATCATGTTTATATATGAAAAAGATAACCAAATGAAACTAAATTCAACCAAATTCAAAGGTATTTACTTTGTGCCTCATTCAAAGAATTTAAGTAGCATTTTTACTGAAAGGTTATATTCTATGATCCAGATTTGATTACGAATATATTCACATTTTTTCCAACAATTTAATTTTTTTTCTAAGTTCTTGTTAATTAAGTAGAAAAAAATGACCTTTTCAATTTATTTCTTATTGCTTTCTTTTTAGTCTATTCCTTTCTTTTTAGTGCCATCCCTATAGGGACATAATCACTCCAGACAGTTGTTCCTATTGGAGACTGGACTTCAGATGGACAAACTGAATCTTTCAGAGCCAGTCTAATGTCCATAATGTGTCTGATGGAAAATACAGGTATAGCTACCATGTGGTGACTGGCACTGCTTAGCATTCATTTGGATTTCAAGCTGCAATGGAGAAATGGTGCAAAATTTGGACACACAACAGTTATCAACATGATGAATAAAATGTTAGCATCTTCTCTTTTTTCTGTGCATAATGAAGGAAGAAAAAGTCCAAATCTTATTACAGAAGTAAAATCAAAGGCAATTTTCACACAAATGGGTTGTTACTCACAAAGCGTTTTCAGGAGTCATCTGAGAGATGGGAAGAGAAATTCTAATTTTGTTTCCCTATTGCAATGGGCAGGGCACTTCTGTGCTCTCTTTTCCCTGTTTATAAAATAAGGACAGAGCAATAATGAGTTCTTAGGTTTTATGATTCATTTAATGTTTGCATAGCACTTTAAAATATCAGGAGTAACATTAGAAAAATAACTACCGGATGTATAACAGCAAACATAAACACCTCTATTTCCAGCATGCTGCCTTGTATTAGCTCTATATTTTCTTGAAATATAACATGATCTTTCTGTAATAAGAAATAAATTCCTAGGTAGCATGTTAAGTAAAAAACTTGGCATGAAATACTTTGAAACAATAATTTCCATCCCGGGAGAAACAAAGGTACTTAAAAGATGCTTTTACAATAAAAAATAAACTATTAAAAAGTTGGCAGAAATTCTCTGGGCATAATTGCAGCTGTGCTTGTTTCAAAATGCCTATTAAATCTGATTCACCAGGACTGTACTACTAGCATGCCTCTGCCTATGGGCAAAGCCTAGGCAATAATTTAAACTACTTTAAATTGAAAATTTAGAGCTGTTGTAATTAATTGTGAATCATTAGAAACAGCTCAATTATATTTAAAAAAGCACAACAAAACAAGATTGTTTATAACACAACAGATAATTAGCAAACTGCTGCAGAATCCAACGATTTGCCAGAATACATGTGGTACTAGAGAAAAGAACAGAAAACGACATATCACAGACATAATCATGCTCGTATATCAAATCTCAATTTTTCTGTCCTATCCTTCAGCACTGACTCTTCCATGGGGTTTAGTGGAGCCCATCCCCACAGGTTTTTACAACCCCCAGGTAAATCTTTGTTAATGTTACCTAAACTTGGGCTGAAGAAAATGTGGAGAGATAGAACAGCCTGTCTGCCCTCTGATCTGGTTTGTGAGGAGGAGTTACGAGGATTCAGTCTGAGAGGAGGAGTGATCAGGATATACAGACTATAGCTACACCTACGTGTTTAACCCTCTTTTTGGTCATCAAGTAGTTTGTAATATTAAATATGGGGTTTTTGGTGTGTCTTAGGATTGATAAGAAGGTTTAGCAAGTGACACATCATGCTCATGCACTTGTGAGCCTGCACAGGTACCCTCAGAGAGGGCTCAATGTCTGTCCCAGGCCCACAAGGAGGGCCATGTGTCAACTAGAATGGGGCATACTGCAGAATGTTAAAAGATCTTTTGCAAAGTAATGGCCATTATTTTTCTGTTTTCTAATGCATTACAGCTGTATGCTCCTATCTTCTTGGTATTATCTTGATAACTTACTTATACTGTTTTTTTGTATGATCTTCTCCTAAAGCAAATACTTATATCTAGGAAAAATCTTCTGTTGATATTCCCATTTGCTAAAAAGCCATTAAAAGCCACAAAAAGCTGGAAATCACAAAATCAAAATATCAAACTATATGCTTGGAATTCTAGCAGAAAAATGTTACCCTTTAAAGCTTGCATGATCAGCACTGGTACCATAGAGAAACTACTTCAGATATGGCAAAAAACTGTTTCAGTCATACTGTCCACACACCTTGAAATCACACAGTTCATAGAGTCTGATGAAGCTGAACATCTATATTTGGTAGAAATCTAATGACACATGGGCTTCTTGGCCAGTTTTACAGTTTACAGCCACTCAGCATAATCACATTATTCTTGAATATTTTGAAAATATGAGAATCATTCTGGCAGAACAAACTGATGTCTTACTTTCTGTATTGCATTTTTAGAAGCAACTAGCAGCAGGAGTTTTGCAGGGAAACAGAAAGAAGAGATAACCCCTCTCCTTTCTCTGGGTTTGTAATTTTCTCATTAGGTAAAATGCAGCTCCAGCGTTGGTTGGGAACAGCTTCTGTGCTGGAACAACAGAGCTTATGACCATTCTGTTCCTAGCATAGTTTCTGCAATTGAAAAGAGAGCAATAGACCAAAGAAGAGAATACAGTCAAACTGTGGCCAGCTGAAGTGAATAGACTCTGAATGGTAATTTAGAGACACCTTAGCACTGACTTCAAATGTGATTCAGAATGTACTTTTCATAAGGAGGAGATGCAATTAAATTAAATTCCTCTCCAACAATAGATTACAGCTACCTATTATAAGCTTGTGAAGTGTCAGTGGAGATACCAAGCACATGTCTTGCCAATTTGAACTTCTCTTAAAAATTAAATTTTCTGTGCATTTTCACAGTACTATTCTGTTTCTGTCTAGTAGCACTTTCTATTCTATTCTAGAGGAGCTGTCTTCTATTATTCACGGCTAATTTTAATTACTGTATCTGTAATTCCAGCCACATCCTAATTTACCACATTGATTATCCATTAAGATCCTGTGAACTGTAAACTGTTATTTCCATCTCTTCCTCAGCAATCATGCCTGTTATTCACTCAGTCTTCTCACTGCAGAGTTTTCTATTCAGAGATGAAGTTGGTTGATTATTTATTTTTGTAGTAATGGTGTCCAAAACAGTTAATGTTCAACTGACTGCATATTTTCCTCACTGGAACAGTAACGGTTTCAAGCTGCACTATGTAAGACTGAAAATCTGTACAATGAGAAAGAAACTCATTCTCTATGCCCATTTTCCTGCTTGGAAAAATATGCTGGTTTTGCTTGCATGGAAAGCCATACTCAGAGTCATGTACCTTTCACAGCCATTTAAAATCTGGGAAGAGTGGTCTGCACATGGATGTGTCAGTTCTCAGCAGCCACAGTCACTCCTAAGGAAATTGTAGAAAAGCTGTCAAGTTTGGGGATTAAAACTGCTTGTTATTGATGGCTGGGAAGGAAAACCATGCCTGTGAGAGACATGAGCTGCTGTGGGTTTATTCTGCACTCCCACCTGCCTGAAGCTCCCCGCTCGCTTCTCCGGCTCTCTGGCCGTGGCTGTCTGCTGCAGCTCCCAGCACGCACTCTTGAAGGAAGCAGGTGACCCCAAGCAAAAAGGATATGAGGTTGTTGCAGCACCCCACAGGTAATGCAGGCTCCCCAAAAGCAGAGTAGTATGGACTGTAATGACTTGCTTATAAACAGACCACTCCTGGTTGCCCATTTTGCCAAAGACTTGGTTCAAGGAGATATTTTCTCCCCTCACAGCCAGGCACTTAAAAAATCTGACTCAGTCTTTCCCCACAGAATGTACACATATCTCTCAAGATACCATTGCACCCTCTTCATTCATCCCTGGGGAATAGACTTGTCTATCTTACACCTTCTGTTTTCTACCTTTCCTTTTCAGTAAAGTTGCAGCTGCCAAAATTACAGTGTTTCCTCACCAATTCCTCTAACCATTTTATCCTTATATCCTGCTTCAATTTCCTCTTATAGCAGAGCACGTTCTTGATTTCTAAGCCTCTTTTGTTCCATTTTTCTTAGGCTCAGCTTTATTTTCTGTCTTGGTCTCCTTCCCCAGCTCTGGGCTTATTTCAGACAACCCTAATTGTGAGAACATCTTTCCATTTACTGTTTCCACCTGGTTTCATTCTTCCATATGTTCATCCCCAGGAGCTTCCCACAGCTCATTGGATCCTCAGTGCCTTTAGACTGTGGATAAGTCAGTGTGAAGACCCAGTCTGGCCTTGGCATTCTTCACCTGAAGTGTTGCATGGCTCTGGCACAGACTTTTCTATATAACTTTGGGTAAGTCATGTACTTGAAGGACTTCATTCATCATTTGAAATTTGAGGATAATTTGAGAATAATGTCATTTTTCTTTTATTTTTTTTTTTTTTTTTGCTTTTCCTTGCCATGTATTTTTTATTATGGAGGCAGCCCAACAATTTTAGGGCTGGGGCAAGGACTTCTGATGAGCTTGTGGATCTAATGGCAGATTTTATTTCAAAAAGCCCACAGGTGTGCAGAAGGTAATGTTTCTCCCTGTTCCTACCTACCTTTACTTAGAGCTTTACTTAGAGGCAGGTGCAGAATTGCATTTGAAGCAAAGGCCAGCCTGTATCCCCATGTAGATGGGACCTGGGCCACAGACATGAGCTGAAACACCCCCTTGGGCTGACCCAGCATTAGAGCAGGAGCTGGCTGTGTCTCTGTGTTTTCCTGCTCTCTCCCTCAGCCCTGCCAGGTTGAATCCTGCTGGGTGCTGGTACTCCTCTGATACAGAAAATAAAAATTATCTGTGTTTTCCTAATGGGACAAGTAATTTGAAATTTCTATAGGAAGTGCACTAAGTAAATCAGTTTTGTTTGTCTAATAATCCTGCTTTTCATTTTCCTTTTGAATGGATTTAGGAATTTTTAGCCAATACGTATGCAAATTCTTATCCTATATTCTTCTAGTGACAGCAAAATATACTTTAAAAAGTAGAGATAATTCCATATTGCTACAGATATATGACAAAAATAAAGCAAAGAAAATTATTGTGAAGCACAGAAAGGCCAACTAAAACTTTTTCAATTTACCTGCTGTGAAAAGACTCTCTCCTTGTTACTATTGCTGGAGCTACAGAACCAGGAATTAAGATTTCTTTAATTTTTTTAATTGCCAACAACTCACCACCCTTTAGGGTTTAATAACTACATCAGGCATTTACCAACTTCATTTGGGACACAGACAAGTATTGGAGGCTTGGATAGTGACGCTGATTTCAAATGTTTGCAGATACACCATCTGTGGCTATCAAAACCCTCTGCAATACCATAAATTGTTGGAAGCAAACATTTATCTAAAGATAAATGAAAGGCAAAATGACACTGAATGGAAAATATTACCATTTGATTTCTCTTGGAAAAATGAAGGAGGAGCTATTTTTTTCTGGACTGGGAAAAGACCAGTGTCTCCAGCTTTTTTTGGGTTTCAACAAGAAGCCACTTACTACGAAAAGTCTCAGGTCTGTAATGCCAACCCCCATCATGTAATTACTTGAGTATCAGATGTTTTTTGCGCAACCCCATGATGCATTTCACACCCATGAAGGTTCTCCATAAGCATCCTAAAATCCTGAGCATGAGAGTGCCAAGGAGCTTGACTGACTGACATGAGAGAAGTGACTTGGGCATCCTCTTCACCTTGTTGTAAGAAATACCTGGTTTGGGAAATGATAATTTTCTGTAGATGAACAGGTCTTTTTGTTGTCCAGCTGTAGGCACAGGTTTTTAGTAATTAGCAAATATGATAATTCTCCTTCCAACTTGATCAGATGAAGTTTAAAGCTATTGTCATCTGACACTGTTCCCTCCCTCCTTCCCTGCTAAGAAAGGACTGATGTCCAGCTGCTATTTAAGAACCCACAGAGACACCCACTGGGCTGGGAGCCCTTGGCTCACTGGGCTGTTTGGAGACTCTCTGTAGGGCTCTGCCAGGTAAAATGCTTCTATTTTAGATTACTATATATAGTCTGTTAAACTGTGCAGAAATGTCAGATGCCAGCATGTGCACATGCCCCCTGATACAGCCTCATATGTAATATATTGAAAAAGTCCTTTAGTTAAAATGTCGGCACATCTGATGTGGAGGAATAAGAGAGATATTTTTTTTTTTTTTGTTCAGTAAAATTTGAAAAAATATTTTGGAAAAAGTGGAAATTAGTGTTGTGGGACAGCATCAATGAGAAACACATTTTAAAAGCATTTATAAAATGTTTGAGCCAATGGGAAGTGAGACTTTGAAAAGGAAAAAAGGAATAAAATTTTTAAAATTTAGAGTTTGTTTCAGAAAACTGGTTGCTTTGCAACATCTAAATAATCTATGAGGTGTCTTCAG